CACCGTAGGGCGGACGGTCATTGGCCGCCACAGCAGGAAGGGCCTGCGCCGCGAGGCGGGGCTGGCGGGGCATTGGAAAGCGTCCGCGCCGGGTGGGGATGCTCCGTGGGCCGGCTCCGAACCCACCGACGACCTCAGCGATTTGTGGCTCCTGGGTCCGTGTACCCGACGGCAGGATACGGAAGCCGGTCCCCAGCCTCTTCAGAAAGACGCACACACCTGGCCAAACTCGGGACAACCGAGGGAGAGACCAGGTACAAGATTAGAGTCGGGCCCACGGCTGCTGAGCTCACCCGACTCCTTGCGTCCGCGGCTCTCCTCGCTGAGTCTCTGGACTGGGACCTGCGGGCGAAAGAAGTTCGGTGAGCTGGAATTGGAATGGGGAAGTTTTAAATTCCATTTTAAGTTTTTCCAAATTAATGGACATAGTTTTTTAAAAAGTAATGCACAAGGTTTATGATGAAAAAGGCAGTTTCAGTATCCTTTCCTCCTGTCCCTAGAGTCAGCTTTGAACTTTTTATTGATATCAATTATATTGTACAGTACGCACAGTAAAATGCACAGATCTTCAGTGTGAAATTTGTCTAGTTTTTGACAAAGATGTACAATGTTAACCATCACCCCAAACAAGATGCAGGACATTGATGTCACCCCTGAATGTTTCCTTGTGCACCCTTTCCAGTCAATACAGTTTTTTTTTTTTGTGGTGAAATATTTTTAAACTACTTTTAAGTTTGCAATTCAGTGGCATTAATTACATTCACAATTTTATGAGATCATCAGCACTGTCTCTTTCTAAAACATGATTTTCATGATCACAAAAGGAAACCTAGACCCCATTAAACAGTCACTTCACAGTCCCCTCTCCCCCAGTCCCTGGTAACTTCTAATCTACTTTATGTCTCTTTGAATTTGCCTACTGTAGGTACCTCATAAAAGTGGAATCATACAATATTTTTCCTTTTGTGTCTGGCTTGTGTCACTTAACATTAATGTTTTCAAAGTTCATCCATGTTGTAACATATATCAGAACATCATTCCTTTTCTTAAAAATTATGGTAAAATATACATAACAGTTATCATTTTTAACCATTTTTAAGTTCTGTGGCATTAAGTACATTCCCATTGTTGTGCAGTCATCACTACCATCCATTCCAGAACTTTTTCATCTTCCCGAACTGACTCAATACACTTTAAACACTTAGCTGTTTTGTTCTGTTTTTTTCCTGGAGCTTCTGTTAAAAAGTACACTTTGACAGCTTTTTCTTGATACATTCATTTCAGGCACTATGGGCATCCTGCTATGATACTTGATACTTAATTTCTAGCCCCATTCCCTTCACCTTTCTCCAACATACATAATGCAATGTTATTGTAAATAATATTTCTATATATGCTATTATTACCTTTCTTGTCAAATGTAAAAGCATACACTTTCTGGAGGTTGTTAATACAGGAAAGCCCTGAAAACTGGAGTTAAACGGGAGGGGCCAACAATATTGACTCGCCTCTGTGTCAGGCATTGAGGGTTGTGATGGTCCCAGCCTCCACGGAGTTTACAATACTGGAGCTTACAATCCCAAGCTTGTTTATGATTCCTTTGCAAACAGCCATTGAATAACCTTTGGTGCCATTCAAGGGCATCATCAAAAAGTCTGTTCTTGGAAATGCCCTCGCAGTTCCATGGGAAGACCTTATGGAAACAAACATTTATTATGCCATCTTGGCTGCAGAAAACGTTTTATTTTAAAAATCTCTGATGAATGGCATTACCCAATTACACTGTGATCCACACAATTAATATCCAAAAGAAGCATTTGTCTTCATTTTTTGACACAAAGAAAATCAAATTACATATGCATTTCCTCTTTCCCTCGGCTGCCTTGGAAGCTCAAATTATTTTACATTAAATTGGGGTTTTCCAGTGTAATTAAAAGGTACTACAAGTCCCAGTTTAGCTGTTCTGTTGAGCCATTTTGCAGTGAGAGGCGAACCCTTCCGGAGATGAGGGGACAATGTGTGTTAAGGATCCTAGTTGGGGAGGGGGTTCTCAAAGGTCACGTCCTGTGGTTTGAAGTGAAGTACCTGCTACTTTTACCTCGTCTCTGCTGACGGCTGCTGGGCTCCGCGCCTCCACCTCTCCTACTCAAGATATATAAGCGGGTTTGGAGCCTGAAAATCCTACAAAGGTGAACCACTGGGTTCGACTGAGTATCCGAAAGGAGAGGTGCGTGCCCAGTGCTCCACACAGCCAGACCACTCGCCTTTGGGGAAATCAATTCCCCCTTCCCACAGATTACTGGGTCCTGGCAGGCCGCCGGGCCTCACCGAGCGCGCCCAGGAGGCCGAAGGTCTCCCGCATTACGTCCCGGTAAGGGACACTTTGCGCCGGCCACCGATACTCCGCGAGTCCAGCAGGCAGAAGTACACGCCCACGCCCGCGAACCTCACGGCCCCTGGGCTGCTTTCCCTAGTTAGCCTGGGCCCGGCCTCTCTGGGCATATCAGCCAGTGAGAGATGGACCAGGGGCGAGGCCGTGAGAAACCATCCTGTGCTTCGCGGAGAGGCTTCCGGGAAATGTGGAAACGCTCTGAGCTGTTTCCGTCCTTCCTCAGAAACTGTCCTTAAGGGCCTGCCGTCCTGCCCTTAACCAAAATGGCGCCTCTCCGGCCTCATCCTTGCTTTTCTTGTCTGCCCTTACATACCAAGGGGCAAGCCGGAAGGGAGGTTGGACTCGGATAGAGTAACCAGCAGATAGATGACGTGCGTTGATTAGACAGCGCCGGTCGACAGGGGAAGAAGGAGGGCTGTGATTGGTCATTCCGGGGCGGCCTGTTTGAAAGGCCTTCGGCCGGCGGTGAGGGGCGGCAAGATCTCCCTTCATCTGGCTTCCCTGGGACAGGAACCTAAGAGAGAGATTCTGACGGAGTAGAGGTTCTGCTACTCTCAGGAGACTTCTTACGGGCAGGTCCGGATATCCGGGGCTTGGAGGTGAGTAAAAGCCCAAGGGCAAGACAGGAGGATTCTGGAGGTAAAGGAGTGAGGGTCAGCCTGTCTCAACACTTCTCTCAGTACATCGGCAGGGCTAGCCACGTGGGCTGCAGAAATAGGTTCCTAATTGGTAGCTGATCTGGCCCAAACTCCAAGGTCACAGATATCTCCCCTTTTACAGACAGTAAAACTGAGAGATGGGGCAGGTGACTGCTCAGGGACAGTGGAGTCGGATTCAGAGTCATCTTCTGGCTCCTGTCTAAGTTTGAACTTAAGTTCTGCTAAGTGCTTAGGGTAGTGCCCTGCACAAAGTAAGTACTCAATAAATATATGCTTATAGTTGTTATTGTAATTATAATACTACCTGGACCCTGCCTCAATCAGGAAAACTTCCAAATCACAGCTCATAAATGAATAATAACACGGAAATGAATCAGATTATCTCTTAAGAGTGTTTTCTGTTCTGGATCAAGATGGTGGAGTAGGAGGACCCTGAGCTCACCTCCTCCCAGGGATACACCAAAACTACAACTACATGTAGAAAAACTCTCTCTGAGAACTGACCTGAAGACTAGCGGAACAGATTTTCTACAACTAAGGACATAAGGAAAAGGTCACATCAAGAAAGGTAGGAGGGGCAAGGTCGTGGTCTAGTGAGACCCCTGCCCCCTTCCCCGTGGGGCAGGCCACAGCAGGAGGGATATCACACCGCAGAGGTCCCCCGTGAGGAGAAAGGGGTCCAAGTATCATATTAGGCTCCCCAACTTGGGGACCTGCACTAGGAAGATGAGCCCCCATTACATTTGGCTTTGAAAACTAGCAAGGCTGACATCTGGGAGAGCCTCAGGGCTGTGGGAAAGGGAAGAGACTCCAGTCGTAAAAAGACTCACACACAAACTCACTGGCTCCAAGTCCTTCCACAGAGGCTGCAGCTTGAAAAGCGCCTGGGACACACACAAGGATATTCATTGACTAATTTTAGAGCGTGCACCAGAGTATCACAGATCTGTTGGAAATTTCTCTGCGGATGGAAGCAGTTTCAGGGGCCATTTGTTTTTAACTTTCTTGCCACCTAGCTGGCCTGGTGCTGGTGAGCGCCATTTCTCTCGCTCTCCATCAGCCTTGGTAACACCATATGCCCTGCCCCTGCTTTCCCCTGAGGTCCCAGGGGGTCAGCCCAGTCACAGCCAGGTCCTATAGAAAGCTGGGCCAGGGACCAGCCCCACCTACCAGGGTGTCTGCAGCAGTCACAACTGAGCAACACAGCCAGTCCAACCTGAGGACCAGCCTCACCCACCAGCACACCCGCAACAGCTGCACACAGGGCCTACGTTTGGAGTTCCTGGCTCTATTGACCAGGGGAGACTGCACCACTGGGCCCCACGGGACACTTCCTACGTAAGGCCACTTTTTCAAAACTGGGAGACAAAGTCAATATACATAGAAACAAATGCAGAGAGTAAGGCAAAACAAAGAAACTACGGAATATCTTTAAAGGAAAAAACAAGACAAAACCTCAGAAAAATAACTAAATGAAGTCGAGACAAGCAGTTTATCAGATGAAGAATTCATGATAGCATTCCAGAGATGCTCACTGAACTCAGGAGGGAAATTGATGAATACAGTAAGAATTCAAGAAAATGCTAGAAGATGTAAAAAAAAAGATTAGAAATTCTGAATTCAGTAATTGAAATAAAAGATGAACTGATGGTATACAACAGTAGATATGAGAATGCAAAAAAACGGACCAGTGATCTGGAAGACAAGGGTAATGGAAATCACCCAATCAGACCAGAGAAAAGAAAAAAGAATCCAAAAAAAGCTAGGATAGTTTAAGGGACCACTGAGAGAACATCAAGCAGACTAACATTTGCTATAGGAGTCCCAGAAGGAGGAGAGAGAGAAAGGGACAGAAAACCTATTTGAAGAAATAATGGCTGAAAACTTCATTCACCTCGCAAACAAACCAGACAGCCAAGTCTAGGAAGCACCGAGTCCCAAATAAGTTGGACCGAAAGAGACCCACACCAAGATACATAATTAAAATGTCAAAAGTTAAAGACTGTTTTTAAACTTTTCTAACAAAATATTTACAAAATCAGACAAGGAAAGTTCTAGAGATATATAACAAAAAGCTGTCCATCCCTACAGTGAAACCACTTTGAAGATCTATCTTTAAAATTCATGTGAGTTTGCATTCCATTTCATAATATAATGAAATGCAAAAGAATATATAGTGAAAAGTAAATTTCACAAGTGTTGAACTCTCATACTACTGGTGGAGTGTAAGTTGGTACAATCACTTTGGAAAACAGGCAGTGCACACGAAAGCTGAATATATTCAATACCCTATGACCTTGTAAACTTCATCACAATTGGGATTTTGATAGGGGTTACATTTATTCCTAAGTGTTATATTCTTTTAATGCTATTGTAAATCGAATTGTTTACTTAATTATCTTTCTGGATTGTTCATTTCTAGTATATAGAAATGCAACTGACTTTTTGTGTGTTGATTTTGTATCTTGGAACTTTGCTGAATTCATTTATTAGCTCATTTTGTATGTGTGTAATCTTTAGTGTTTTTTAGATATAAGATCATGTCATCTGTGAGTAGAAATAACTTTACTCGTTCCTTTCTAACTCGGTTGCCTTTTATTTCTTTTTCTTGCTACTTGCTCTGGCCAGAACTTCTAATATAAAATTGACTAGAAGTGGCAAAAGTGGGCATTGTTCCTGATTGTAGGAGAAAAGCTTTCAGTCTTTCACCATTGAGTATGTTGTTGGCTGTAGGGTTTTTATATATGGCCTTTATCATGGTGAGGAAGTTTCCTTTTGTTTCTAGTTTATTATGTGTTTTCATCATGAAAGGATGTTGAATTTTGTCAGATTCTTTAATTGCATCAATTAAGATGAATTTGGTTTTTTTCCCCTTCATTCTATTAATGCGACATATTACATTAATTTTTCTTTGTTGACCCATTCTCAAATCCCAGGAATAAATCCCACTTAGTGTATAACCCTTTTAATTTACTGCTTTGCCTTGCTAGTATGTTGTTCAGGATTTTTATGTCAATATTCATACAGGGTATTTGTAATTTTCTTGTAATGTCTTTGGCTTTGGTATCAGTGTAAGCATTTTTTAAATATATTCTGGATACAGATTCCCTTTCACATCTATGACTTGCGGATATTTTCTCCTCATTCTGTGAATTGTTTTTTCACTCTCTTCAAGCTGTCTTTTGAAGCACGAAAGTTTTAATTTTGATAGAATCAATTAATTTTATTTATCTATTTTTTTTTGGTCACGTGTGCTTTTGGTATCATAGCTGAGTAACGATTGCCTAATCCAAGATCACAAACACTTATGCTTATATTTTCTTCTAAGATGTATAGTTTTAGGTTTTACATTTAGGTCTGTGGTTCAAGTTAATTTTTGTATATGGTTAAAGGTAGAGGTCCAACTTCATTCTTTTTTATGTCATCCTAGCACCATTTTTTGAAGACTGTTTCTTTCCTTGAATTGTCTTGGCACCTTTGTTGCAAACCAATTGATAATAATTGGAAAAGGGTAGGAAGCTTTATAGCATGTGTCTTTGCCAGTGTAACATGGTCCTTCATCAAGGGGACCCAGCCTCCCTTCATTCAAGGGATTGTTAGTCTGGAATTGGCTCAAGTCTGAGAATTTGTTGAGGCCAGAGCTCAGCAAGATGTGGAGCAGTATGAGACCCACGGAGGAGCATCTCCTAACACCTACTTTATGGGGTTCTCATACAAACTGTAGATTGGTATGTATACAAAGTTCTTAGCACAGTACATGGCACATCATAAGTGTTCAACAAAGTGGCTCTGATACTATTGCAGTAGGCCGAAGAATAAACAAAGTGGGTAATAGTGTCTGTAAGCTACTGTTGTTTTGAGAAACTTAGCTGCAAATAGGAGATAAGGAGTGAGGCCAAAGGGAAATTTGTTTTTAAAGACAGATTTTAGCATATTTATAGGTTGGCATGTACATGTTCCAGACAAGAGGGGGACTCTGAAACCGTAAAACTAAGAGAGAATAGACGGAGCAAAGTCTCTGAGAGGGCAGAAGCGGATACAGTCCAGGCACAACTCTACTGATGTGCACTGCAGACAAGGGACTTGCCCTGAGCTGGCATGGAAGCGAGTAAATACTAGTGGTCACACTGGCAGATGTGGAGTCACAGTGGGGAGTGGAATGTTAGGGGAGTTCCTATTTGACATCTTGTGTTTTCTTAGTGAAGGAGAAGGCAGTCACTGGTTCAGGATGTATGAAAGACATGTTATGTTGAAAGTCCAACTGAGGTTGGAGTGGAAAGGCTGGCCCTTCTCAGCAGCATTGCAATTTTTTTTCTTCATAGCTCATATACAGCCATGAAGACAGATGGGAGATTAACTCATACTGGGGCTGTGGGTTAGTTAATTCTTTTGGTTGCAAGTAACAGAAAGTCAAACTACCAGAAGCAGAAGGGAGAAGTATTTGGAAGAATACTGGGATCTCCCACTGAATATAGGGCTGTAGTCACAGTTGGTCATTGAATGGATCCTGGAACTGAAGTGCATTCAGAAACCTAAGAAGTTGTCTCCCACCTCAGCCCTCCATGGACCACATACTGGAACTTGGCCACCAACGGCTCCCAATCCAGGCCCAAAGAAATTTCTAAAATTCCTAGGTAAGGAAATAGCCTGGTGATAGAGGTAGGGAAAAGAGCAAGTTCTGAAACTGGGGGTAAGGAGGAATTTTAATAGGTCTCTACTGGGGGTGGGCGCATTTCCATCAGAATTGTAAAAATGTCTAGTCAGTCAACAAACTAGATTTACATTTTATAAACAGTAATTCGACAGGAACATAATTCATTCATCAGACATTTTAATGAAATCCAATCTGGTACGACCTCTGCTTTGGGGTAGCCCCTCTGTCCAAGGAGAAGCAGTGACGATGCAGCTTGCTAAATACCAGAACAGAGGTAATTACAAACACTGTGTTCCCTAGCCACACCCCAATTCTGGGGCTGATGTCAGGAGAGCTGAAGGAAGAAGTAACAGGGGTAGGATGACCCACTCAGCTGTTGGAATATGAGATAAGTCATGTTTGGAACTTCCAGTTTGGTGCAGCTACCCAAGGCAAAGTGGTAGGCCTTGTTCATTCAATTCACTAAAGCTTTACTGAGCACCTACTCTGGAATGGGTGCCATGGAGGCAGAGCAAAGATCAAAATATGCTGCTGCCGCCACTGCCATCTGGAGCCTATGTAAGGGAGGAAGGGCATGAACACAACTCAGTGACTGTAGAATCTTCTGCTTTGTATTCAGTTACCTAACTTTCTAACCTTCTTGAATAGCCTCACCTCATTTCATGAAAAATGTTGACAGAAAACTCATGGAAGGCCCTGTGCTAATGTCTCCTTATTCTGATGAGAATAAGGGAGGAGTGAGACCCAGTTCTCAGGAATTTTCCAGCCACTGGCTGCCTGAAACTAATCCAGATCCACCAGATAAAGTACAACAAGCTGGTCCTGGTTTTACTGCTTCTTGCTGCTAGACCATAGCTTCCCTGCTTTTCCTTAATTTAAGATCAGTCTTCTCCCAAAGCTCACTATGCTTAAGTCCCAAGACCCATCTTGAACCATCTTTCCAAACACAGGGTGCAAAAGACTTAGCTTCACAGCATGTTTTTTTTTTTTAAAGCTTAGGTATTTAGGTGTCTGCAACCTAATAATCCTCTGGTACACTGCCACCACCCCCAAATCCAAAGCAGTATAGAACTGTTAAAACAAAGACAGACCTTGGAGGTATATGGTGTACAGTATGATGCTGGCTTATTTTGTATAACCCTTTAAAAGGGACATTGAAAAACCAGCCCTTGTTTGGGGAGAGATTTTGTGTGGGAACTGAAACCCTGTCTTTAAGGAATGATTGACCAAATTAATGTTATTTGACCTGAAAACCTGGGGGCAAAGTATTTGTGGTTAAGTTTTCTGAAGGACTGCCATATAGATTTAGCTTTAAATATATTCTGGGCGAGGCTTCCAGGGAAGGAGAATGTGGTATTTAAGGGCCTTCTAACGATCAGAGCTATCCCACAATGAGATGACCTGCCTTGTGAGGTAGTGAGCTCCCTGTCAAGGGGGATTTTTAAAGCAAGGGTAGAAGACCGCGTGGCAGGAATATTGTAAAAAGTTGAAACCTGGTATGGAAGAGGAGTCACAGGAGGGGAAGAGCCTGCTCCCATGAACAGGGATCCTCCTGACTGCCTGCGAGGGGGCAGGTAATCCCTGTGTGCACAGACTAGAAAAGCACATGGCCCCTAAACTCAATGAGAACTTTTAGCCCGATATCCACACAGAAGTTCTTTTAGGGCAGGGTAGCTTGGAAAACTTTAACCAAATGATGTCACCTCTCTTATTGGGGCTGTCTGTTTTAAACACACATATTAAGGCGTCCAGTGTGATAGCATATACCGACGGTAAGCTGAGTAGCAAGAGACCTGGGTCTTGGTTCTGACTCTGCCCGGGATGAAGGGGGCTCCTTCCCCTTTCTGCGCCCCTCCATGAAATGAAATGAACCTATCCAACCCTTTCCATTCTAAAGGGCACTGCCCCTCTGGCTAGGCCCCCCTATAGCAGATCTCAGGCTACAGTTTTGGAGCCTGGGGCTACACTTGTGGACGGCCAGAGACCACCTCTGGCGAAAGCAACGGCCACACTCAAGACAGGGGAAAGGCTTCTCCCCGGTGTGGAGGAGCTGGTGCTGAGCCAGGTGGCTCCACTGGGCGAAGCGCTTGGAGCACAGGTCGCAGGCATAGGGCCGCTCGCCAGAGTGAACGCGCCGGTGACTGGCCAGGAGCGAGGGGTAGGCAAAGCGGCGGCCGCAGTCCTCGCACGCGTGCAGCTTCTCCTCGGTGTGCGTGCTGCGGTGGATGGCGAGGGAGCCGCTCCGCCGGAAGGCACGGCCACAGTCCGGGCAGGGGTAGGGCTTCTCTCCCGTGTGCAAGAGCTGGTGCTGGAGCAGGGTACTGCGCTGGGAGAAGCGGGCCTCACAGTGCTCACAGGCATAGGGACGCTCCCCTGAGTGTACCCGCCGGTGACTGACCAGCCGGGAGGATGAGGAGAACCGCCGCTCACAGTCGGGGCACGGGTAGGGCTTCTCACCCGTGTGGATGCGCTGGTGGATGACGAGGGCGGTGCGCTGGCGGAAGCGACGGTTGCATTCCAGGCAGGTGTACGGCTTCTCTCCGGTGTGTGTGCGCTGGTGGATGGCTAGCAGGGAGGGGTAGGCAAAGCGACGCCCGCAGCTAGGGCACTCGTGGGGTTTTTCACCTGTATGCGTGGTCCGGTGATTGGCCAAGGACCGGCTCCTACGGAAGCAGCGGCCACAGTCAGGACAATGGTAGGGCTTCTCGCCTGTATGGATAACTTGGTGCTGGGAGAGGTTCTTGCGCTGGGAGAATCGTTTTCCACACTGGTCACAGACATAGGGACACTCACCAGAGTGTGCCCGCCGGTGACTGACCAGCAGGGATGGGTAGGAAAAGCGGCGCCCACAGTCTGGGCAAGGGTAAGGCTTTTTCAGATTCTGGGCACACTTGTGGCTCTGCAGGGCCAGGTGATCAGGAAAAGTGCAACCACAGTCAGGGCAGATTGGACCTCCAGATGTCTGCCTGGGGATCAGGCGGGGTTTGCTGGGCCGGCGCCCCCGCTTCCCCTTTCTCGGGGCCTCCTTAGGTGGGAATACTTCCGTCTCTTCATTCTTCTTTCTCCTTCTGGTTTCTACAGGGACACAAGGAGAAATTAACAAATACTGGGCCCCTACTCTTTCCTATTACAGTGTTACAGGTTATAAGACTATTTAAATAGACTCAGCCCCTGTCTTCAGGGACTGTTAGTGACACAGACAACCAATCAAGTGTGACACACTGCTATGGCAATATGGAGGGTATTATAGGAACCCCCTAGCCCAGCTTGGAGAAGTCAGGGAAGGCTTCTTGGAGGAGATTAAACTGACTTTAAAAATGAAAAAGTTTTTGAAATGTTAAGGCAGAAAGTGGAAACATGATTTGGCAGTGACAAGGTCACAAGGCCCTTTAAGCCAGTGGTTCTCAAATTTTATTGTGATCTGAATCATTTGGAGAGCTTATTGAAACAAATTGCTGGATGCTACTCCCAGGTTTGGATTCAGCATGTCTAGGGTGGGGTCTAGGAATCTGCATTTCTAATACATTCCCAAGTGATACTGCTGCTGGTCTGAGGACCACACTTGGAATCAGCTGGAGTTCTTCAAAAAAAAAAAGTTCCTAGATATGGATACATAAGAGTCAATGAGGAGTTCTGAGATGGGGTCCAGGAATCTATATTTTCATTAAGATCCCGAAGTGACTTTGATATAACTGACAGCCATTTGACAACCTGCCTGAAACGGAAAGCTTTTAAGCAAGGAAGTATCATGGCAGATCTGAACCGTAGAAAGAGAGCCTTGCTCTTAGAGAATCTGGCACAGAAATCCCAGACCAGACAGTTGCATCTGACCCTGTGGGTGGAGCTGGGGCCCTTCTACCCAAACGGCTTAATCAGAGCCTTGCTTGATCCCGAGGAGAGTTGCAGATTCCCGCACTCATCAGGGTCATCCTGCCAGAAGGGCAAAAGGAGGCTCCTGCACCCTAGGCTGCTGTTTCCCATAAGATCTCTCAGTCAGAGCCCAATCCAAAGCAGGCTCAGGGCAGAGTCCTGGGAAGGAGGCAGGCGTATAGAAGCTCTTTTTAAAAGCTCACTGATTCATCCACACAATAGACAACTGCAGGTGGTTAGTTTACAAGCTGACAAGTGAATCTTTGGTGGAGGGATTGGACACCATCAGAGAGACAAGAACCATCACGTTGTGAAAATGAACACAGTAAATGGAGCATTACAGCATGGGTCAAAGGTATCCCGAGCCAACAAAACTCTGGATCGAGTCATTACAGGCTGCAAGCCTTCCAGAGGCATTTTTCACTCACTTCTCTGGACTGTCATCTGTCTTGGGCACTCCTGTGGATCCAGGGCAGCCAGTTCCCAATCATTGGTATTTCGTTCCAACCAGGAGATGAGGGCTGGTTTGGGACCTGCGCACCCTGGGGAAGGAGAATGAGTCAGAGGCCCGGGCCGTACATAGCGCTGAGTAGATATATCTACCTGGTGGCATCTCCTGCGAAGCCCCCGCCCTCCTCCCCTGACACAACCTGGTCGGAAGCCAGGACCCTGGACACTCCGGACTCCTTGCCCTCCCCTCACTCCCTGTTCATTCCTTCGGGCCCCGTGGAAGCGGATTGGGGCGGGCCTCACCGAGCGCGCCCAGGTGGCCGTAGGTCTCCTGCATCACGTCCCGGTACAGGGCCCTCTGCGCGGGCCGTAGACATTCCCACTCCTCCGGGGAGAAGTACACGGCCACGTCCGCGAACTTCACCGCCCTAGGCCTCCTTCCCCTTCTCCGGCCAGGTCTGGCCTCTCCTGGTCCCCGCGCGGGCAGCAGAGCCGAAGGCGGCGCCATTGGACCCGAGAAGCCGGCGCCACGGCCTTCCCAGTCCCGGTCTCAGCCCTGGGTGCTGGCGGGCCCCGGGATTTGGGAGCCCCCGCCGGACCCAGGCGAATCGTGCCTGGGGAGGCCCACAGGGAACCAGAATCAGCCGCCTGCGGGGCTAACGGAAGCCTTTCACTGTTATTCAGGAAACTCCTGCCCCAACTTGGGTGAAAGGCACCGGAAGATGCCTTCGGGGAAAATGGCGGCGCCGCTACTGCACCGCCTTTGCCTGAAACACAGGCAGCTTCCAGCTATCGATTTTATTGACCCGAGCGCCATGCCGGCTTCCTAACCTCTTTGCCCTCAAATGTGATGGCGCTGCGATTGGGCTTCACGTCCTTTTTCCCCCCATTGCACACGCTCATTGGGCGGCGGCCGAAGATCGAGCATTCTAATTGGGTGCGGTCGAAAGCGGCCTGTTTGAACGAAGCCAACGGAAGTGGAAGGGCAGGAAGCTGGACGCTCGGTGTTGGGTGACTGCTGCTGAGTCTCCAGGCGGGAAGGGGAGACCCTTCCTGGGATCAGTAACAGTCTCGTTTCCTGATGGCGCAGCCTACCCGAGGGTGGGAAAGATACGAGTGACGGAGCCACTCTGGCCAACCCGGGGCTGAGATTTCCCTGAGTTGCCTTTCCTGGCTTTCTCAGAGGAGCCTTCGCTTCCGATAGTGGGTAACTTCCTTGTTGCCCTTTGGGGAAGGGAATTAACGTTAGTGTTTCTTGTGCGCAGGCACCATGCCCAACATATTACACATTTCTCATTTATTTTTTGCTACCGTTGTGTGAAGTGATGATTATCATCCTGGTTCTCCTGATGAGGAAAATCTCAGAGGGGTACTGCTAAGAAGGAACAAAGGTTTTGGCGACTAAAGAAAAATGCACAATCTAAAAGTTTCTAGTTAAGTTTTATTCCGGGACCTTACTGAGAACTGCAGCCTCTCATTTAGCTCTGAGGAACTGTACCAAAGAGGTAAGGGAGGAGCCAGGATATATAGCAGTTTTTGCTGGGGGGCGGAGGGAGGCAGACATGAAACGATTACTGTTAATCTCACACACACAGACACCTCAAGTTAATGATTTTAGTGCTTTTATATGTATGGGTAGGTGCAGGAGTCTGAGCTCATTGAAGTTGTTCTTTAGATATGCAACTTAACTATCTAGCCAGTAACTGGAGCACAGAATGTTTCCTGTATTTTCCCATCCTGAATTTTCATGGCACACCCTTGGTTGGGGTCTGGAAAGAGGTTGCGGAGGCAGGGCAGCTGCAGTGGCTGATGGCTTGATGGTGGGCAACTTCGTCGTTTACCGGAATGGCAGGCAACATTCCCTTTCTACAGGGCTTCCTCATGGTCATAAATTCGACCAAGGTTTGGGAGGCATTTCATGAACAATTTGTCCCATGGCACTAGGAATTTTCACTCCTAGGTCAGAGGAAGATTTTGTTGCTAGGCCACCCAATATGCTATTTTTGGATTAAAATTCTCTGCATCATCTGTCTTAGTCTATTATGATCCAGAAAATGTCCCTTGTTGCTTCTTCCAATACCTAGAGTCACACTATTACAATTATTTTATATAGAGTTATATATATGATCAATTGCCATAAAGATGTTTAGCCACCATTTTGTTGGAGCATGATGTGCTGGCTACACATTGGGTAATGAAAGAGGCAATAATCTTTTTTTTTTTTTTAGTATATGTGCTGCCGAAGCGAGCACAGTTTTTTCTGAAAGAGGCAATAATCTTTTAAAATACACAGCATGTAAGTAATATAGCTAGTAACATTAATACAGTCATAGTACAGCAGAGAGGGGCACAAAGCATAAACAATTTGATTTTTTGTGGGGGAGGAGTAATTAGGCTGATTTATTTATTTTTAAAGGAGGTGCTGGGGATTGAACCCAGGACCTCATGCATGCTAAATACGAACTCTACCACTGAGCTATACACTTACCCCTATAAACAATTTGAAAACAACAAAAAGAGAACAAATTAAAACAATAGTTAGTATAATTAGTTGTAATCTGGTCACACGAAGCCCTCAAGTCCAGAGAGGAGCCAGCTAGAGAAGTCAAATTCTGGAGGGTTGAGGTAGAGAGGGAAAAAAATGTTTCATCTTCCTTTACTAAGATATACTCTATCAACTTTTTATGGGTCATGGTTAGCATAAGAGGAAAGATTTTCTGGAAAACAAAGATTAAAAGCCAGCAATATTTTAGACAAAAAATCATACAATTATAAATCACATTGCTCAGTTCATTCAGTCCCATGTAATTAATTCCTGTGGATCTAGATGAAGCCATCGGGTTTCCTGTTTTTGTAATTTTTTACCCAGTTCAGTAGTATGATCTAAAAGTCTTCAAAAATCTTCCTTGACAAAAGTGCTCTCTATGAAACTTCTTGAAGATCTTCATTTTATAAAGGCATCAGAGTAAAACAATCTCTGTCTATATTTGACAAAAGACTTAAAATGGCATGGTTAAAGATCTGATTACAATGCACTTGACAAGAAACTTGGTTATTTCTGTGACATAAAGTATTTTAAAATAATAACTACAACTATGACTGATAACATTATACCAGCACATATCAGGTTTTTAAAGATTCCATATAACTTTTAGAATATCTATATTAATGACATTTACCCATACAATATCACCTAAGAAGGTTTATCACCACTTATCTGACAATGTTTCTCATGTAGTTTAATGTACCAAGTAAATCTAATTAATATTTCTCTTTAGGGTGTTTCAGGGACCCTTTGAAGCACCCCAAAATTAGCTAGAGGTCAAAAGAACTTTATTTAGAATTTGACTTGGGGAAAGTTGTCAAAGATACCAGGTTTTAAAACACTTGGTGAAATAGGATCATAGGGCACTGAAATAATACTCATTCAAGCAGGATGATAATAAAAGGTTTTAAAAGCAAATACAGAAAGTTACAGCAGACTACTTAAAAGGAGGTAAAGAAACTTTACAATCTGTTATCAAAATCAGATCAATATTTATTTACTCAGTTAATTTTGAATCTTAGCCAGTCTTGACCATGCACAAAATTCTTCTCAGGGTTTTCCCACAAACATTCCATAACTTTCTTTTTTATTTTTTTAGATTTTTGTCTTATACTTTTTCTTTCTTTCTAGGACAAAAATTACTTCTTTTTCCCTTGATAAATGCATTTTCCATTCCTTGTACCTTTTTCCTTTCATACAAAGATATTTTCCTTATTAATTTTAATAGTTTTAATGACATTAATCAGAATTCTTAACTTTTAAAAACTTTAATTTCTACTGAAAACTAACAAGTATGCAGTTATGAACTATCTTTTACATTAGCATTCTGTAGATTTGGAAACTTTTTTATGATTTGTAAAAACATGCTTTATTATAGAAAAATTTTCAGTGCAGCACCAAAAATTTTTATTAATAGACCTAAATAGTTTAGTTTCTCTAGAAAAGAAAGCCTATGTTTAGGGATTAATGTTTCAGTATCTTTGGGAGCAATCTAGACATTTAATAAATTTCCATCTTTTAACTTAGCAAAACTCTAAAGTTAAAGTTACACAAAATCTGGAGAATTATTTTTAAATAGACATACCATAAAACATAATAATTTTTAAAGAGTTCACCTAAAAGCTCTTACTCTATTTATATCTATTGAATTACAATTATGTTTAGATTACCTGTGAAAACATGAGACATCAGACCAAGTTAGCCATCATCCCAAACTATTTTTCTTGCTGATAATTTTTATACCAGAGAAAATACGACTTTATCTGACTTTTAGTTAACCCGGATGCAATAAAAGTAAGACATGTCTATATTAATCAAACCAACAAACTTAACCTTTAATGCTGAATATTATTTCCTAGATCATGTGAACTTGAAATTAATTTGGGTTAGTTTCTATTTAAAAATCTCTGATTTGTAAGTGCTTACTTTCAAGTCAATTAAATAGAGCTCTTTTATAAATTTAATTGTGATAATACTATCCAGAGGTAAAGACATATCATATGTATAATGTACACAACAGACATTCCTTAAAATAACCCCTTGAGGCTGATCATTTCTTTCCAAATGATGGCGCTCAAGCTCAGTCCAGTAAGACTCATCAATGTTAACACCGCTAAGTTAAGGAACCAGCAATAGAAGAACTCAGTAGGGTGCAACTGCTCCCTCATTTCTCATTTTTCGTGGATCCTCATCCTCTCCTTTGACTCCTTTTCTACTGCCTTTGATATTATTGGTCTATAGTTGCTTGATTGCCAGTGGACTGCATCTATTTTCCTCACCTATCCCACCTAGGACACATTTGTGTGCACATGCACACACAAATCCACTCTGACCAGGCTTTTGTCCCACTGTTCGGCTAAAAAAAATTCTCCAAGTCCTGCCAACCTCCTCGTTAAACCACTCTGCCACTTTCTTCCATTGGCTTCTGAATCCCTTTTTGTTTTGCTGGTTTTGTATTTTGGTTCTTCTTTCTGTCTTCTTTATTACATTCCGCATTTTTAAAGTACATTTTCCTAAGGTTCAGGCGTCCAACTTATTTCCCTTGGTTTTGATTGTCATCCTCTAGGCCAGTGATCCCGAACTGGGCGGGGGGTGATGCCTCCTTCCCCTGGGGACGTTCAGTAATGTCTACAGGCATTTTTTAGTTGTCAAGAGTTAGGGTAAGGGGAGGGAGGGTCCCAGGGAAGGGACGTTTGTGCGCTACTGACATCTAGTGGGTAGAGGCTAGCAATGCTTCCACGGAACATCCTACAAGGCACAGGACAGCCCCTCACAACAAAGAATTCTCTGGCTCGAAATATTAATAGTGTTGTGGTTGAGAAATCTTCCTCTAGGTCTGGATGTGTAACTGGCTGCTGAATATTTTCACATGGTGGTTGAGCCAAGAGTTTGTTACTTTCTCTAGATATTTTAGTTGAATATTCGACTACATTTCACTCCTGTTACTAGCATATCAGACCTGATATCCCATTACCTAAATCCTTCCTGCTCATGGCTTTTCCCTGCCAGTTCCGAGGCTATTATGTCCTGGTAGCTTAGGATAAATCTGTGAAAAAACAGGCGAAGTTCCTCTTACATTCCATACTACTCAGCCATAAAAAAGAATGAATCATGCCATTTTCAGCAGCATAGATGGACCTAGAGATGATCATACTGAGTGAGGTAAGTCAGAAAGAGAAAAACAAATACCATATGATATCACTTATATGTGGAATCTAAAATATGACACAAATGAGCTTGTTTATGAAACAGACTCACAGATATAAAAAACTTATGGTTACCAAAGGGAAAAGGGGGGGTGGGGACAGATAAATCAGGAGTTTGGAATTAGCAGATACAAACTACTATATATAAGATAGTAAACAACAAGATCCTACTGTATAGCACAGGGAACTTTATTCAATATCCTGTAATAATGGAAAAGAATATATGTATATATGTATAGCTGAATCACCTTGCTGTACACCAGAAATTAACATTGTAAATCAACTATACCTCAGTTTTTAAAAATCTGTATTAGCTTAAAACAGGACATTTACAGTTATGAGTGAAAAAAAAAGCTTGCATTCCAAAGCGGGAGAATGGACAGTTTTTTTTAATTGAAGTAGTCAGTTACAATGTGTCAATTTCTGAGAGAATGAACAATTTCTAATAAATACAGATAAGGGATCCTTCCATTTAACAGATGGACCCAGAGATATCAATTTTCTTGCTCAGTACCAGACAGTCCTGTTCA